TCGTTACCTAAATACTTAGCTTTGCCTCCATTTCACCGACTTCGCATCTCTTACCGTTTCCGATATACCAAAGGTGAGGGTCGAATTTGAAGCACCCGGTATATGGTACTTCGATTTCACGAATCTATCTATAAACTCTATACTTATTTATGTTGCCAGTAAAAGTACGAGCTACTAATCTTAATTAAACAATATTTCATTCAAATCATCTGAACTCGGCGAACCACCTGAGACAAATAAACCATAATGGATATTTCACTAGACTAAATGTAAAATCGTGTGTGTGTGTGTGAAAAAACCTTTATGATGTAAATCTTAATCGAACGACAGACATTCCAATTTGTAAAGTGCCTACGCATTTCTTGTATTTCATTATATCAGCTTTTCAATCAGCTCTGAACATGTTATTTCAGCGAATATTTCAATATTCATAAACTTTTTTCGTGGTTTTACTATACTCGTAAACTGGAATTATCGAATTAACAAAAAAGCGAGGATTTGAATTTGAAAAACGTGTAGATAAAGATACTAGCTCTGATGAAAGCATTTAGTAATAAAAAATAATATATTGAGCAAAGCAGTTTAAGGATTATGGATAACGCTGGTGCACAAAATTAAAATGTGGTGTGTGCTGGAGGTCTTACTATGTTGTTCCCTATCTAGCAGAAAAGGAGGAAATAATTCGTCAGCTCAATAACGAAAATTTAAAACTTAAAGAGCAGCAGCTGTCAATAACCGCAAGTATTACTGAGAATGATGCCATAGCATCAGCATTAAATAGAATTAATATGAGACTCGACGAAGTTGAGAAAAACCAGTTAGTAAAAGAAAATTCATACGCACAAATCTTAAAACAAACGACACCTATTACTAAAAGGCAATCACTGAAATGCATCACAGTTATTCCAAAAGAAAAACAATCTTGTGATAATACGAGAAGAGAATTGAGTAAGAGAATAAATCTTTCATCTCTGAACATTTAAATAGAAAGTGTGAGAAACTCAAAAAATGGCGGAATTGATATAAAAATTGATGACTCAAACCATAATAAACTGAAAGATGAACTTCAAAATAAATTGAATGAAAAATACCAAGTTACTGAGCCGAAAATGTTGAATTAAAAATTAAAATAATAAATTATAAAAGTAGTGAGAAACCGAATGAAAAGCAAATTGAAGAAGATCTTATACATCAAAATTATATGATTCAGAGTGGAGACATACAAGTAAAGTTTATCAAATATTTTCCATCAAGAAACAATTACACTATCTACGCGGAAACTTCTGGAAACCTATTCAAAAAAATCTTCGAAGACAATAATAGAAGAATACTTCTGGGATGGCAATGTTTGACAGTATATCAAAATAACGACATTTCTCAGTGTAGAAAATGCTACCGTTTTAATCATACAGAAAAGAATTGCAGGAATGAGAAGATATGTGCCAACTGTGGCAACGGTCACGAAGGAGAAAACTGTAAGCAGGTATCAATAGAATGCTGCAACTGTAGATATGGAAATGAAAGATATAAAAAAAATTATAATATTAACCACTCACCTACCGACAAAGACTGTCCATCGTACAAATATTATCAGGAACAACAAAACTTAAGGATACTTTTTTAAAATTCAAGTTCATCTTTTACTACTCCTATCTCTAAAGAGGAACTAAAAATGTCAGTAAATAAATACATTAATGATTTCCAAATTCCAAGTATTGCAACAAATATAGCACAAAACGTCGATGAACTTAATTTATGTACACAAAATTCTGATGCAAAATTTCGAATTTTTAATATGAACATAAGGAGTATAAAACACAACATTGATTACTTAAAAATACTACTCGACCAAATATGGTACAATATTGATCTAATAGTTTTAACTGAAACGTGGCAAGTGGCTGATATTTCTTGCTTCAATCAGCAGGGATATGACACGCTGTATAACTTTGGCACTTATAACCAAAACGACGGGGTGATAGTTTTTGTAAGAAATAAACTGCAATATAATCATGATACATTCACTTTCACCGATGGAATCAAAATTTTAAACATAATGATCCAAATTAACCATAACAAAATTGAGGTATCTGCAATTTATCGTCCGCCATGTTCAGAACCCCACGAGTTTTTAAAGAATATCGATTTTTTTTTCAAAATCAAAATAAAGTTCATTTAAAGCAACATATTTTCTTGGGAGATGTCAATATAAATATTTTGGGCGATGATTCCATCACAAATGAATACTTGAATATCCTATCAAGTAACGGATTTCTGTCCTATATAAAACCTACCTACAAGGTCCATCAGTGGCACATGTATAGATCACTGCTTTGTGAAAGACCTATCCAACAAAATTACTTGTATACCAATAATCCTAGAAAGCGATATTACTGACCACTTCTCCACTATTTTACTGATATCTTCAAATGAAAAACATTCTAACATCCCTACCGTTAGTAACAACCAGGAAAATTACAAATTTTTTGTCGACAATTCAAAACTAATATCAAATGTCAAACAAGAATCCTGGGAACAATTATACTCTATAAATAATATAGACAAAGCAACGGGACTGTTCATAGAGAAAATAAAAAAACTAGTAGATATTAGTACCAATAAAGTAATAATTAGTCACAAAGAGAAAAGCAGAAATGCCTGGATTACCAAAGGATTAATAACATCGGCAATAGAAAAAGAAAGACTATATAATATAATGAAACTAACGCCAACTACAGAGAATACCGACTGCTACAACCAATATAAAAATAAATTTATAGAGCTTGTAAGGCAAACCAAACGAAAACATTACCTAAATAAATTGAATAATAACTTAAATGATCCTAAGCGGCTTTGGACAACTATTGATGAGATTACTGGGAAAACAAAAGTTAAAGAGTGTGTCACTGAGTTAAATACAACATCGGGAACAGTATTAAAAAATACTCAACAGATATGCGATGAATTTGTACAATTCTTTACTGACCATAGGCGAAAATTTAGCAAGTAATATACAAGCAAATGTACAAAATACTCAGCCCCCAAAAAGAACTTTGAACTCATTTATTTTGGATAAAGTCGACCAATGTGAAGTATACACCACTGTTATGTCCTTAAAAAATCGGAAAAGTCCTGGGTTCGATGGTATTAAAAGCGAGCATTTGAAAATTATAGCCGAGGACATAACAGAACCACTCACTTACCTAATCAACAAATGCTTTGAATCTGGCATATATCCCTCAATGTTTAAAAAAGGTAATATAATACCGATACATAAATCAGGAACAAAAACAGATGTTAACAACTATAGATCAATATCAATAATATCCAGTGTAGCAAAGGTTTTTGAAAAAGTTTTATCTCCTAGAATGATTCGATACCTCACAAACTTCAAAATTTTAAGTGAAAATCAATATGGATTTACAGAAGGGAAGGCTACATCGGACGCAATAACTAAAATTGTAAATCAAATACATCAAAATATTGATAACAGAATCCCTTCAATCTGCATTTTTGTTGATTTAAAGAAAGATTTCGACACAGTTAATCACAAATTATTATTAGAAGCATTGGAGAGAATTGGTTTCAGAGGAAACGCGTACTCACTGATCGAACGTTATTTGTCAAATCGCCCACAATCTGTGCAGATATCAGGATCATTTAGTAAAGAAATGTATATTAAGTGTGGTGTCCCACAAGGAACTGTCTTAGGTCTGATCTGAAAAATGTAATTGAAAATGATTTTATCAAAATTATTCGGTGGTTTAACAGTAGAAAATTAAGCATTAACTACTCTAAAACACATTTTTTACCATTTGGATCTTATGCTAGACATCTGCCAAATTACACAAATTTCTCTTTCAATATTAATGATCAAAAAATGCAAATTAATAGAGTGCCCAACATAAAATACCTTGGAGTGGTCTTGGATCCTTACTTACGATGGGACATCCATGTCAATTATATTTTAAAGAAAGTTAGATTTGTATCCTACAAAATTAAGTACCTTGGGAATATATTGACAGAAAAATATCTTCGAACATTATACCATGCACTGATTGAGCCTCATCTCACATATGGTATATTAGCATGGGGAGCTGCATGTTCCTCACATATCTATAATTTAGATGTTTTTCAAAAAAGTATTCTGAAAATGATATTTAAAAAACCGAAACTTTATCCCACTGAAAAATTATACGCAGATGTTCGAATGTATGATATAAGACAGCTTTACTTCTTACACAGTATCACCCACTACCATAAATTTGTAAACACCGACCAAAAAATTAAACATAATCATTATACCAGGTACAAAATTCGTGGCACAGTAGTTCCTCAACCGCATAAATCTATAATGCAGCGATCATATCTCTATTTAGTGCCTAAATTATATGAAATTATACCTAAAGACTTAAAAGATTTACGTTTCGGAAATTTTTTCAAAAGAAATTTAAAAAAGTGGCTACATTCTATATCTAGGACTGAAATTCATAAACTCATAAATACGAACATCAACTAAATATATAATCTACTGTAGCTAATTTTTGTCCTTTTTTGTCATTTGCATTCTACAGTTTCAACTTAAATTTATTGGTCCATGTACAGGCGATGCCTTCTATTGGGCCTGTTTTGATTTTATATTTATTTACTCATATTATTTGTTATCTTTGTACATTGGGTGAATAAATATTATTATTATTATTATTATCTAGTTAACTATACAGGGGCCCATGCAAACTTTGTACGTGGGACCACGGTCCGCCATTGATGTTTTACGAGGGTTGACCTCTATGGTCCACCTTGTAACTAGCCACAGGTTCTAGTAGAGACCAGTAGAGACTTTTTCGAATCAAAGGTCGGTCGAATCTGAAGAAATTAAATTTCGTTATGCTTGCGTTTATTTTAATAATTTCACTCAAAAATTTATCACTGACCCCCGTAACTTGATTACCTGAGTCGACCAGACACAGTGTCGAAATTCCTTTAAATTTTGCAGTTACCACTAGCAACACCAGATCCTGTTTCACAACCGGTTCCTCTTCCTCCAAAATTTCCTCGGTTAAAAATTGTGGAAACCTCTGGTTGATTTCCATTCTCTGCATGCCTCACATTTCTATTCCTATCACCAATTTTCCAGACCCGTCTACCCGCGTCACGATTATCAGTCCATTGACCCTGACCACGATTTTCTCCCTTATTTTCACTTACCTGAGCCGCATTTATGTTTCTATTCCTATAGTAAAATACCAAAATTGATGACAGTAGCGAGACTCCTCGTACGAGACTGCTATTACGCGGAAGCCTTTGAAAATGCGACGCCTCTTTGTGAAATGTTGGTAAACGTCGCTGTAACCAAAAGGTTCCACGTCAAAGCAGTGGCGCACGATGACTTCTGCTACTGTCATCAATTCTGGTATTTGACTATAGGCTCGGCCATTTCCATTTCTAAACTATCTATCCGTCTCAAATCATCGATGCCTTCCACATACCTATACCCTAAATTTATCAACCTCCTGCGAGTCTCTGGCGGAAAAATGCTCTATACTCATCTCAAATAATTCATTACCATTTATAGGCTGCGACAGATTGTATTAATTTCAAAAAGTAATCGGTACGTGCACTCTTCTCGAATTCACCATATTTGATTCTAGAGACCATTTCTATCTCATTCAAATTATCGAAAGATTGTGCTTAAATTTACTCAGCATTAGATCCGCTAGTTTCCTATATTCTTTGGACGACTTTTTGAACGGATGACGGCGTTGCATAGGAAGTGCAGAGTCAACCTACCTGACGCCATTTTTTTTCAGGTTAAGCGGTAAACAATTTAAAAGTTTTCTTTCCATAAAAAAAACCCATCGCGCTGACCTGGAAACGGGCAATAAAGCAATGGAAATACCTTTATTCGTTTTTTATTATGAAAATGCTGCTTTTCTCTAGAGCAAGGTTATTAAAAATTTAAAGTATGATCGAGTCCTCAAGTGTTCTCGTCGGAAATTTTTCAGGAGCTTCGGTGAATGCTGATTTATCGTTTATTAGGTAGGCTACGAAATCTTTTATAGCTCAAGAACATTAGACACAACCATTATAGGCAATCGAACGAAAAACGGTATCCTTATAACTGGTATAGTCTGAGATTCCTCATAGACCGAGATATTTATAATTTTCCTAGCGAGAAATAAAAGGCGGAGGTTACGGGCTGGAATTAGCAAAGTTATCGGACATTACGCATGAAGTATAGTTCTAATTTGGAATATATTTATTCAAAACTAATTGATCGCTTGAACATTATCATCTTCAACGCGACATATACAATTATTATATAATTTTTTATACCAAGTGACATATAAATCCGAACACCCAGTTTAAACGGTTTTATTTTAATAAAATTTTGTATAAGTACTTAATGAAGCATAATAAGTAAATGATAAAAATGTCAAAATGATTGCACTGCTTTAAAGCCCTTTGACCTTTAATAATGTGTGGATGCACCCTGATGTGCTACGCATTCTCCAACGCGCCTAGGCATGCTTCTGATCAGGTGGTCAATGTCCTCCTGTGGTATCTCATTCCAGGCAACCACCAACTCCTCTCGAAGTGCGTGTAGAGTCTGAGGAGAACGTTGCAAATTGAACAATCTCCTACCCATCATATCCCACACGTGCTCAATTGGGGATAAGTCGGGAGATCTTGGTGGCCATGGTAACAATGTGACATCATTATGTTGAAAGAAGTCTATTGTGATTCTTGCAACATGTGGTCGGGCATTATCTTGTTGGAAAGTTGGATCTGCCAGGGTGTCAAGATAGGGTAAAAGATGGGGTTCTAGAACTTCGTGGATATAACGCTGCGCGTTCATGTTACCTCTGATGAAGATTAAAGGTGACCTGGAACCATAACTCCAACAGTGTGATGAACATGTCTTTCAACAAAAAACTGTGGATTCCTCCTTTCACCACGTCGCCTTCTAACCCTGGCACGACCATTGTGCATGCCTAAACAAAATCGAGACTCGTCACTAAAGACAATACTGTTCCATTCCTGATCCCAGAGTGACCGTTGTCTGCACCACTCAAGGCGATTACGTCGGTGTTCTCGAGTTAAAGGGAGGACCCAGTGTGGCCGGTATGAAAACAAGCCAGAACTTCTCATTCGTCGGTAAACACTTCGCATGCCAATAGGTCTTCCGTGTTCTGCAAACCATTCATTTGCAATGGACCTGGTAGTGGAGAAACGGTCCCTTAAGGCCAATAATCTTAGGCGGCGATCTTTACGGTCTGTTGTTCTACGGCGGCGTCCAGTGTCCCTTGCTCTTTGCGTACGGCCTTCTCGAAGCCATGCCTGACAACACCTAACCACAGTGTCTACACTTCTTTGCACTCTAACTGCAATTGCCCGAAAAGAAAGTCCAGCTTCCCAAAGTCCCACTATACGGCCCCTATCAAACTCACTAAGTTGACGAAATCGTACAGGTCTCCATACTCTAGGCATCGTAACCGATCGTAAAGGATATCAAGAACCAAAATCCGCCAACGTTGATTCTTTACTGCGGCTGAAATATTCATTTTTAGAGCGTTAGTGAATTAAAAAAAAGCAGTATAAAAACCGAAATGTCCAACTGATAAGGCTGAAAATTTTTTCACTTGTTATTTACAGTAAGATAAATACATTCACCAACTTTTATTAAAATAAAACCATTTGAACTGGGTGTTCGGATTTATATGTTACTTAGTATATTTCCATCAGTAGCTATAAACATTGATCAAATTATATTCTTTGTGAAAATAGCCAAACATACACTGCATTCCGACGTGCTAAAAGGTGTCTACGCGCCATCTACGAGACAGCAGAACACACAAATGAATTCAGAAATCTACTTTGAAAAGAGTTGAAGTGATTGGATCTGTTACAGTCTCATGGGTGGTGCTAGGATCTTATAACGTATTCCACCGTCTTTTTGTCGTCGTTGGGTAAATGGTTAATGTCGATTAAGCACCTCATAATAGAACCACCTGACTGCGAAATTTTTCCATATAACACCGACATACCCACTGATTTCTGCATTCATCCGTTGGGCAGATAACTCTAAGGCATTCATGTTTGGCAGGTAACACGTACAACTCTGAACATTTTAATAAGGGGATAAGCACTATAAGACCGTCAAAAGTATTACGCAAACAATACAGATGGAATCCCTAGATTTATGAAGAAAATAAACAATTATATTCATCCATAGCAGCATTTCAGGTACACAAATCACTCCATCCAGGCCTGAAAGTACTGTCTGTCATATAGGCCAATGATTTGGAGAGTCTTGAGGAATTTTTGAAAGGTTTATATTCTTATAGACACGCTCTTTTCAAATGTTTGCTATCTTGTAGCTTGTTCGCTTGCGACGCCATACGGAAAAAAATGGCATCCTACAATATTTTAGGAACGACTGACGATATGGATCTTAGAGCTAGCTACAAACAAGTATAACAACAAAATTAAATGGGTCAAGTCAGCCAAATAGGTCTATATACAATTAGAACATCCTTCATAGTTGCCATCGATTTGATAATGATATCGCTAGTTTCTTCCCTGGTCTAAGTACCGACCATCCGGCAACACTGCTGGACCACACCAGTCAAACACGTCATAAGTACCAGCCATGATATAACAAAACATCCCTGCTGGTGATGCTGTTACACGCAAGGCAGGCTTCGGCGTATGAACGTCGCCGTTGCATCGCATCGTCCCGACTGACCGCGTGTTTCGTCTATAAATCTTCCTCCAAGTTATAAGGGCACGTGTACGAGGAAATAGGAATAGGACAAAATGAGATATACGTTCCCCCACCCGCTGCATCCCCCAACCCCCGATTTTCCAACCCTATGAAATATTTTACGAATGAAGCTTGAGCGATGTTTTTCGCGTTTTTGCTCTTAGCTCCGCCGCGACTGGACCGATTTTCAAAAACTACAAGGCTTTTTCGTCCTTGGCAAAGGTCCTTATGCAAAAATTTCATCCGAAGAATACTTTCCAGGTTATAAATAGGCGGACAAACTGACAGACAAACAGACCGACGGATACGGGTGACATGGTTTTTCGTGTTGTACATGTCAGATATCATCCAAAAAACATAACATCTCATTTGCGATTACAATACTTCCTCGCCAGCAGGCACCCAAAAAAATTTTTTCACAAAAGAGAAAATTTACCAAGTTTCTGGTACTATACATAAAAAGGCATCCACGAGATTATCCTTAAATCGCTCCTACCTAAATGGCTTTATCGAAAATGATTAACCTCGTAATTCGGATTCTTTATCAGATCAAAGTAAAGCTCGGAAAGGCTCGACCAGGTAAACTGTTTTATTAAATAAAATACAGTTTAAGATCGTGGAGGTTGAACAGAATTACGTGGGATAATCATTGAAGAACAGCTTCGATAGCGCTTTTTTCAAGAAGACCTTTATTCATTTGACGAAAAATGGATGCAAATCATTCAAATCACGTACTTTAGGTGCTTTCAATTCTTCCCGGAGAGAGTCTAGACCAGTTTAAAAAATACTGACCACTTTGAGGATCAATTATTTTCTAGCACCCCCGATATTACTTTGATTTCAATATTCAGAGTTGAGTCATTTATTTTAACTGCTTGTAGGACTCGTTAAAAGGAGTTGATATACCAAAAATCACCTACATAAAAGTTGCATAATAAAAGAAATAGAGATTCAAACTTTTTAAAAGTAAGAATCTCATTACACAGATTTTTTGATATTCTCGACCACTGCCTTGTAATATCTTAGCGTCTTTTGTTTACTAGGTACTCTTATCGTTTATCCAGATTTGGCAAACTTTTTGTGTTATTGTATGGTTTTCAGTACGAGTATTTGGTTCGATCAGTTGTATCAGTCTGTTAATAGTGCGTATACTTACTTTCATTTATCTGATTATCTTGTGCGAAAAAATGGCTCATGCTTTCGAAAAAGATTAACTAGTGGACATAATATTAATATACGGAGAGTGCTAACAAAATGCAGCCGCAGCATGCAGGTTCTATGCGGAAAGGTACCCTTTAATGAATGAAATGTTACAAATTGGGGACGACATTTTAGAAATGGTCAAAGACGACCCGACAATGAGTACTAGAGCCATAGCACCTCAAGTTGAAGTTTCTCATACTACAGTGTGGAAGGCAATAAGACAATAACAGCAGGGACCGGAACAGGTAAGGACGAATATAATATGAAAATAGGAAGATTTTTTTGGAACTATGAAGAAATATGAACTTTAAAAAAAAATATGAAGTTTTTTTTAACCAAATATTAGTGCAAATTGCAAATAATATATTTTTTTAGTAATAATCCCCTACCAAATGGCCGGTTAAGTCAAATTCAGCTTTTTTCAAAATAAATTTTTAACGAAAATACTACTATAGTAAACAGAAAAAAGTGGAACTTGACCTGGATGGTGTATGGCCTACTAAACTATTAATTTATTAGAAACTTGTTTAGGAACAGAAACAGGTACAAAACATTGAACGAAACAGGTATGAACAAACACTTAAACCTAAACAAATCAAACATACAGTTTATTCTTTTCTCGGTCTCTTAGCAAAAAAGTCTGTTATTAAACTTTTTTGCCTCTTGCCTATTTGGTTTTGAATTTGGGTCACCTCTTTTTCCTTATTCTCTAGTTCTTTTTTTGATGTTAAAAATCCCTCAATCAATGCTTCAGCAATTTTGGCTTCTGCACGGTCACCCTTTTTTAATGCGCCATTAAGTCTGTCTGAGGCTTCATTTATAAGTTTATCTGATACCGTGGCTTGTAGGTTAGCATCATTTTTTTTCTGTTCTAGTTCAATTTCTAATTCTTTCATCTCATCTTTACTTTTATTTGCATCATCTCGTTTTAATCTTTCTTCTTGCAATAACTTTTTAAAGCATTTTCATCATTTTCCTTTTGTTTTCTTCTTTTTCTTTCTTCTTCTAAACTCATATTATATTTTTTGTAAGCAACTCGTGCCATTGCTATTAAATTTTTTCTAATGGGCACAAGTTCTGGCTTATTGTCATAAATTTTTAATGCGTCGCAAATAATGAGCCGTGAATTTAGCATTTTTTCTTTCATATTTGTTCTTAGCTCACACATTACTTGATTAGACGAGAATCCTCTTCCAACTTCGGCGCTTTCATGGTTAATACTTAACGCTACCTTAAATAAAGTTTGAACTGAAGGATATTTTATTTCGCCTGCATGATTCGTTTTTTCAAAATAGTAGTTCCAACATTCTTCTACTCTAACATCTCCTTCTTGAGGCTCTTCCTCTAACTGTAGCAATTTCCATTCATCAAATACACAATCCAACTTTAGATCTAGCGGAAGACTATTTAAAAGATTAGTTAAATCTTTAACCGTTGAGTCATATTTGCTACTGCTAGGATTAAGACATCTTAAATATTTAAGATTTTTATTTAACAGGTTAACAGCTGTAATTAAGTCGGATCCGGCGGCCAAATAATGTTTCTGCACATTATGCAAAAATAATATTTCATCCTTTTCTGGAACTGCTAATAACTCTTTTTGTAAATCTTTTTCAAAAATTAAATTCTGTGATGGCATTAAATTATTTTTTTCAAAAGGATTAATATTTGAAGGCATTGATTTAAAAGCTTTAATTACGTCTTGCTTGCAAATCTTGATGGTTATCGAAATAACAAGGTCTTTCAATTCGGAATATACTTTATGAATTAATGGTTCCTCTTTCTGGAACATAGTAGTATAGTTTGTAAATAAACTTATACTCGACAGCAAAAAGAGCATTTCACATTTTAAAGTTTTTTGCTTAAGGAAACCGCAAATGGTACTGTAACCAGAACTTTTCATTTGATGGTCTGCCTTGAGAGGTATAAACTTAAAAAAGTACTCATTAATAGCCTCACATTGTACCAAAATCCTTTCAATAGCAGGACCTAAAGTTAGCCATCTGCTACTAACATGCTTTAAGAATTTGTGTTCTGGAACACTCTTTTTTCGTTGTATCGCATTATAGTCCTCGCACTTTGAAGGCCATCCATCAAAAAAATTATACATATATAGCTATAATTAAGTTACAGCAATCTTCTCCTAACTCTTTGAGACTCTTCAAAAAACTATTATGAACAGTGTGGATGGTACATGACCCCATATCCATTAGCGCATTACCTCGAATACTCAAAATATACTCATTGAGAAGGCGTAATGTCTTTTTATTAACGTTTGGACCATCGCTAGTGATGGAGATAAGTTTTGCTAATGGCAAGTTGGCATTATCTATTGCTTTTAAAATTGTACTTTTAAGATCTTCTGCCGTTGCATGGCCCATATAAAAGCTTTCTAAATGAAATGATACTATTTGGCCTGCTTTTTTTTGACCAAAACTTTATTCTTATTTGCAACTCTTTCTTTCCAGCATTATTGGTCGTCTCATCATATTGTAGTGAATAATAAGAATTTCTGGCTTCTTCAAGCATTTCATTTCAGAAATGCGGACCTAGCACATCTGTAATAAGATAACTTATTTTTTTTCGGACTTAAGGAAAATTGATCTGGCACAGCACCATCAGCTAGAAACATTTTCTTAAACAAACTAGCTATCCCAGATACTGAATCTGCCGAAAAGTTTGATGCTACAACTTTAAGGGCCTACATTAGCTCGGCTTTAACTGCTGTATCTTTACTGTTTGTTAGAGTAAGCAAAGAACTACCTGCTTTCTCCGAATCTTGAGACACTTGTATGTTTTGCGAAGCTCTCTTGTCACCATTCTACTAAAATCAGTCATATTTTCCCATGTAATAGCTAAACCAAGTACCTATATGACAGCAACCAAAAGTAATTCCTAAATTAAAATTTTTCCGATTAAAATTCCCTCAGTTGATCCTCATTGGGAAAAAAAATGAAAAATATGAAGATTTTTCTAAAAATATGAAGTTTTATGAAACTTAAAAAAAATATGAAGAAATATGAAAAATATGAATCTGTTCCGAACCCTGTATTATCCTTATCATTATCAACGGGTACAAGCCTTACAATCTGCAGATCATCCTAGAAGAGTTGCATTTTGGCAGTATCTTTTAGAACGGTTCGGCACACACGAAGAGAAGTGCACAATTCCAACAACAATCATGTTTGGACAGTAGAAATCCGCATGCTGTAAAAAGAACTAGTTTTTAACATAGATTTTCATTAAATTTATTTAGATTTTCTTCGACACAATCTGCCTCAATTATTAGAAGAGGTTCCTCTAAATGCGAGGCAGAATATGCCGTTCCTACTATTTCAAAGTGTTGGTGTACCATGATGGAGCAGTAAATACTCTGGAAGAACTTCAACAGCGCACTGTGATTTATTTTGTGGACATCAGCATTTTATTTTGGTTGCTTGTAAAGAGTCGTGGATTCGTTGAACAAGATTTTGCGTTGATCGAACAAATGGGGACAATTTTGAACATTTTTTTTAACTTGATAATGATTTTTTTTAAATAATTTTCAATAATGTAAACTATCTTATTACGCAACTTTTATATGGGTGATTTTTGGTATATCAACTTCTCTTGACGATTTCAACAAGCTGTTAAAATGAATGACTCATCTTTGATAATATCATGCACTTCGTTTTAAGTATTTACAAAAACACCAATTAGCCTTTGCATCCCCAGTTTTTCCTTCGATTTCCTCTAGGCTTTCCCCATCCCGTAAGCCCCCAGCTCTCACAAGAGGGCGTCATCACCCACTTTGAGAAATACTGACTAGATGGAGCACTGCAATTCGCTAGGAATGCGGTGCATAGTAAATAAACGATTATGAGATGCCCTGTAGTGTGAACTGTTCTTCCTTATATGCCAACGGACACGCGGTCAGAAGTAATTAATAGAAGCTATGTGGAAAAACAGAAGCGACTGTATATTTATTGAATGGTGCAAATGCTTCAAGCCACATACCACACTCAGTTACCCAGTCCAACTTTTCTAAAAGAAACAATATACACGTAGGCTTATCTCTAATTATTGTTATAATCGTGAAAAATCAACGTGCCCATAGTACCTTTTGTTTCCGATACGATCACGATCTATCTTTGAACAGCGGTGGAGACGACTCACGTTAAGTTTGTAGTGGATGGATCAAAATCTTCACTCCAACGTAACACCGATATTTTGTCTTTATAAAATATTCGACAGAAGAGAAATACTTAGTGGGGGAACTGACTCGATCATCCGGTCGATGAAAAGGGAAACATTGTCGGCTTGATAATGGAATATAGCCTTGGTCCCTATGGTGGAATGTCCCGTAATCGGAGCCTTGACAGAGGTGCAGCATAGGGGCGGCCGCCAGCTGAGAGGAATTGCTGAATGTGCATTGCTATGACCAGTTCCGCGTGAGTGACGATATTATACTATAACTATCTAAAACTGTCATGACTCATCGATGTTCACGTGAACATCACTTAACTACCAGTAGTCGGCTGTTCATAGGCGGGGTATGAATGTTTAACATGGGTGAACTAGATTTGTCACATGCTTAATAAAGAGTGGTTTGAAACATATTGTAAGTCAAAAATTTGGGAATTACCTTTATTCATCGTCGCTTCCACTTACATCTGACAGTAATAAACTATCGCTATCGCTTTCCTCGTTGAAATTGACTATAACTGGCTCTATGATGGTGTCGATGTGGTGGTCAAGCTGCCACATTTTTGTTTCTTCCTTCACAACATGACGGATAGCATTCTGCCAAGTTTCGGGCGTTACTAGCTGTATGGAAGTCTCAAGTAAAACCTTAACGTCTGGTAATTTGAAGGTTGTGTTATGGCGCGCAATATAACACTTCACTTGAGCCCAGATGAGCTCTATTGGGTTCAGTTCACAGTGGTAGGGCGGTAACCGCAGCACAGTGACACCACATTGACGGGCCATCTCATCAGTCACGTAACTAATGTTCGCAGGTTTGTGCTGTTTAATTTTTTCATACAATTCCGCGTTCACACATGAATCGTCAAACGGGATTCCTTTTTCGCGCAACCATTGCTGCATGTCACTTTTTCGAGATCCCATAGTCGGTACACGTTCGGCTCGACGACTATGGTAGGAAGCATTATCCATGACGATCACAGAGTTGGGCTCAACTCGCTGAAGCACCCCTTGAAACCAGCTCTCGAAGCAGCTGGCAGTCATTTCGTCATGGTAATTACCTCCTTTCTTAGAGACGAAAATCAAGTCACACTCTTCTAAAAAGCCACTATCGCTACCAATATGAGTTACGATCAATCTTTGACCTTTCCCTGACGGTCCACGAAGACCTGTTGACAAACCTTCAATGCTTGCTTGTCGGTTACTCACTACGTTTTTGTCTATACAGGTTTTTTTTAACTGTGTGACCTGCATTTACCCATGTCTCGTCCAAATAATAGATTTTTCTGCTTTGTCGCCTATATTCAATCATTTCGCGTAGGTATTTTCGACGCCAGGCGACTATTTCAGGTCTCTCTATCAATACTGACTTCCGATTACGCGTTTCGTAACGAAAATTAATTTCGTGCAGGGATTTCCTCATTACCTCGACGCTCATTTGGGGTATAATTTCATTTTCCTTGATCGCTGCATGTACAGCCTTGAGGGTTGGTATCTCATTCCTAAAGAAGAATGAATGTACGGTTCGCCTTAACGCCATTTTGCTATCGTCATCCAATTTAACGGCCTTTCGTGCCTTCAAATTATACTTTGGATCAGTAGTAGCTCCAGTTTTCTTCTTTTCATGCACCACCCTGCGAATGGTCCACTCTGGAACGCCTGTCATACGTTCACAACGCGCGAGTGCATCTCCCTGCGACATAGTTCTGTTCAGATAATTGAACACGTTGAGCACGATTTCTTTCGCGTCCCTCTTCAGTGCTTTACGAAGCCGTCTACGTGTTCCCTGGCTTTCAGTACTTCCACTCGTGCCATTTGTACTCTCCATGGTTAAGTATAACCAAAACAGTAACCACAGAAACCACAACAATAACAATCACACAACAATTCTTATAAAAACACACAATATGCGATCGCTCAACGAAACACATTCCAATGCGTTGCCGACGCCTATGAGTCTGCCGGTCGAGGCGCGTCTTTGATTTCATTGGTTCTACCGGCGGAGAACAATCAGCCATTATTTCCATCTCTGTCTGTGCTGTTGACCACCGCAAAGCCACAGAAACGACATATGTCGTACGCTATACGGCTGTACTGGAAGGAAGCCGGGATCGAGCTCTGATCACGTGTTGATCACGCGTATGAGTCATTACAGTTTTAAATAGTTGTAGTATAGTCGTCATCATACACCGTACACGCAGACCACAGTAGTGTGACGCTTGTCCATCGGGGGACGACGTCGCACGTTTCGACTGGACAATTTTCAAACACTGCAAAGCTTGTGCGTAGGTTAGCAGACACACCAACGAAAATAAGTAACGTATTCAAAAAATAATATCTCATTTTAGAAAATTTTCGCGATTGCAATACTTTCCCGTCAGTAGGCGTGGGAAGTAAAACAAATGCTTACGTTAACAATACCCTGCAAAATGCTTTATGATTTTGCTAATTGACGTTCGGAAAATGTGAAGGAACTTTGTGAAAATTAAAGTTTTCGTTTTTTCATATTTTTTCTCGGGGTCAAATATTTCTCATTTTGCTCTTTTTCAAGTAATAAATCAAGTATCTCGTAAGAGCTGATCCAAAAACCCTAAAAAATTGATTCCGGAGCAAAAAAAAAAACTTAGTTTGTTTCAAGAATATCTGAACAAATTGTGACACTACTTTGGCCTGGCAACATCCAAGGTCGTTGAAATGAGTCATTTTTTAATTAAATTATACAAAAAACCGAAGCAGAATATTTTTCAGAGACCTTCTGGACTACGTTATCATGATTGATTTTCATCGCATTGCGCCAAAAAAATGTTTATGCTGAAGCAGCCGCGTATGCAAAAGCCTAAATACCTATGTACTATAACGAGCTTAAGGACACTTTGTTAGTCCCGGAGCATGTTAATTTAATTAAACTCTTAATGAAACTCTTGGCTCTATGTTCCAAGTTTACTGGCTATTAATCAGATATCATTTTAACACTATCATATCTTGGGTAGGTTTAGCATGAGGTGATTAACTATCGAATTGTTTGCGACTCCAGAGTCTGATGGCCTGCAGAACCTCTTACAGCAAACGTCTGGTATGTTGGTCCCGAAAATGACAATAGTTAGTACGGGTATCTGGGTATCTGGAAATGAGAAAACTATAACTGCGTTACCTATTTATACACTTGCTACGTTTCTTCAATTAATCCTTGGATACCTCTCATGAAGGTTTTTGGAAGGTGTCTGTTATTATTGGTTGCCCATAACCTCACTTCTCATCAGTTGTTATATGTCCGATATGGATGTTAGGCGCTGAACTTGACCTTGGTTGGTGTTTGATAAACTTTCTAGAAAGAAGCGCGTAATTATTCCCTTTCACAGTTCGGCTATCATCCCGAAAGGATACGTTGTGTATATCTCGAAAGCCGACAGGAGATTACAGATTTAGGAGTTTTTGGCTCTCCTGGTTTAGGGGATCAATATTTAAAATCCGGAAAAAAATTGCCGTTTATGGTTGACACACACCGCCCTAGAGGTAAGCCATATTTTCGTTGCAATTCTTCTTCTTGGAATCTTGCACTTCTCGCCACTTTTTGTACCAGTTGTCCAAAGTGCGAAACCCTGCCACCCGAACATACCAGCATCCTGCTGCTCACCACCTGCTCACTTCTCACCACCAGTGGTACAATGCTGATTATCTTTACTCAAATTTGGTTAATGAAGATATTTGAGGGTCAACCCTTTACCCTCGATTGGACCACTGAACACTGATGTCTTGTTATAACCCTGTAAACCGTAGGTATGCGCATACCCCCAAGAGGAACTGTTGAGTGTTATTTTTTTATTGATTTTTTATAAATAAAATCAGTGTACCGACATGTTGCCCTATGTATACTTTTGAACTCTTCCACAACACACAGCATTAACCTATGGACCCTGAGATCAACAACCATAAATTGATTAAGGGGTATTTCTACCGACTTTATACCTTTAATTTAGGCATAGGGAAGACCTCTTCGAATTTTAATTACCTAATTATCTCTCTCTCTCTCTCTCTCTCTCTCTCTCTCTCTCTTCAGTAACTAACGCCCAGTAACCACCCACTCTTTCAATAATATTTTCACACACACAGTCTCGACACATTACAGTATATTCAGATAAGAGATAGACCGGATGTAAACAAAAGGTTCGGGTGATTTTCACGCTAACGCCTCCGTCTCGACGTAAAACAGGACCCCTCATTGGTCAATTCGCAATTAAATGCCTATGCCGAGCGGCAGAGCAGTCGTATCAAGGCAGAGTCACATTCAGGTTCAGACGTGTTACGTATGTCATGTGCATCATTGCAATTTGATATTTCTTTGGACGTTTTCGTTTGTTATCTTATTAAGTTGTTGAGTTTGTCGTTGTTATTGTTATACCTTGTTATTGATTGTTATTGTTATCAACTGCTTGCGCAAAATGCCCAGCAGTACGGATACTGCCGATGAAGTTGTAAACTCCTGTAGTCCACCTAGGAAACGCTCTAAAAAAAGACACCTGAGTGCAGAAATGAAAGATGTCATTTTAAATATATACAGGGTGACTTTGAAGTTGAGTCATTAATTTTCAGATAATGATTGTAGAGGGAAGATAAACCAGAATATGTGTGTAAAAATAAAAAAAAATTTTTACCTTGTTTTATAAAGTATCCTCCCGACAAGTATTTCAGTGCGGACCTGTATTTGATCGTGAGGTCCCCTGTGAGGTCTTCAAGTCACCTGATTCACGAGCCCGTTGTACTACATTAACAAAGGCACGAGGGGTTGGTTGCACTCGATTGGGAAACCGATCCGCATAAACATGTGCCATTTTTTATTTCGTTTGAGCCACGCAACAGACACTATTCACACGCTAACCGACTGTATGTATAACTGAACTGAATAAAATACTTAATTGCAAAAACGTCGTTCCAAATTCTTTCGCTTTTTTGTTTCCGATGCGATGAACCGGTAAGGCGGATTATATCCGTTGTTGCCAAACACGAGTACATGATATTATTATTGAGACAGGGCGGTACTCAAACTTCCAAAGGGCTATAACTTTGTTACTTTAATTTTACCAGAAAAATGGTAAAGGAAAAAAACATTTCTTTTGATCAGATCTACTCACTGTTAAAATAAATGACTCAACTTCGAAGTACCCTGTATAAGATCGAGCGCGAGGGAACGAGGCATCAACCATCAAAGAAATTGTTGTGAAGGTTTCTCACAAAGTTGGGGTGTGTCGCGCATCAGTGTTTAATGTGTTAAGACAATACAAAAAAAATCACACCTTTTCTGAGCCAATGACCAGTAAACATCGCAAAAGTATTGTTAAATCATTGGATGGAGCTGATAAGCATGCGATTAGGAGGAAAGTGCATGAATTCTTCTTTAGGAATGAAATACCTACTATAGATAAAGTACTGCAGGAGGTAAATGGAGATACAACGTTGCCAAATTTCAAACGATCAACTTTCCATGCGTTACTGAAGCATTTAAATTTCAAATGTAAAAAACGGGGTCGTAATAGTTTACTACTGGATAGAGAAGAAATTGTGCTATGGAGGAGGGATTATTTAACAAAAATTGGGAAATATAGAAATCAAAACAGGAAGATTTATTACCTTGATGAAACGTGGGTAAACGCAGGACACACTACAAGTAAAGTATGGGTTGATGATTCTGTAACTTCATCCAGGAGGGCCTTTCTAGATGGACTGTCCACCGGATTAAAAAATCCAGCAGGTAAATACGAGTAATAGACAACAATCGGATGTTTTTCAAACCTTGGGAACAAGGTTCTAAACATTAATTCCAGGTGGCAGATAAAACATATTACAAGTAACAAAACTTTTATAACTTTCGATAAATGCGTGGACGTTTTATTTAATTTGTTAGAACTTTTCTAAGCCATGTTTTTATGTGTTTTCGATATTTCAATAATTTTTTAATATAATCTTAAAATATGTCGAATATTATAAACTTAAAAAAAGTTACTAAGTTTTATATTGTGTACCGTTCCTAATATTTCGAATCATTTTAATTCATACAAGTTATAATTTGTTAATATTAATATTTGCGCGTATTTCAGGTTCCTGATCATTCATTTTTTAAAGGTTTATAACTTTAAATTAAATTGTGAAGCGCTGAGTAATCATACGACGTTCAATATTCTTTCTTTCCAATTATAGCAATCTGATACTCATGTCTCAATGTTTTTTCGCTGAATGTGATGAAAACATTTGAAAAAGGTTCGCTTATTGAAATAAATCTACATCAGTTAGTACTTCGATTTCCAGGTAAAGGGAAAAGGCTCATTATGTATCACAAGGCGGAATATCAAAAATACGCCATTGACGAAATGGCAGCAAGTCAAAATAAAACTGTACTCCGTTTACCTCCATACCATTGCGAGCTCAATCCCATTGAGCTCATATGGGCAGAGGTTAAAAATTATATAGCTAAGCACAATACAACTTTTAAATTTTGTGACCTCAAAGGACTTTTCAAAGAAGCACTAGAATTAATAACAGCGCAAAAATGGGAAAACTGTTTAAGCACGTGAAAGACAAAGTTGAAAAAGAGGATGTGGGAACTGGACAATATTTTAGAGGAACAAGTCGAGCCATTCATTATTGACGTTGGTGCTTCAGGCGGTAGCGATGATGAAAGCTCATCAAGCTCATCTTTCCAATAAAAGATGTCGTTCATCAAATTCGGTAAGTTATAAGTAATTATAAAGCTACTGTATTTTTTAATTAATTATTGACATTTTTGAACCCATTTTGGCAAAACCTATTCAAGAATCTACTTTCTGACAATGTTCAACCATGCACATTTTTTTACGTTTTGAACGTTTTAATTTGGTTACATATTTACCTAGAAATCAAAAAATATACTAATCAATATTCTAAAAGCAATTTTAAGAGATATACGATTATTTTTAATTTAGGCTAATTTAAACGCCATTTTGAGATTATATTCGACTGTATTTCACCAAACATCGGGCGGCATCTGAAGCTGGAAATCGAAGCGAAAATTTTGAAACCCTTATGTATATTTACATCATTATATATTTCTTACCCCACCCCCACATGATCCTATATCCATCACCAATCGTATACACATCGAATTATGCTAATTTACTACAAAGTTACGCAAAGCAGCATCTACTATCTAAAATATGTACTGCGTGACTCTTAATACGTCCCTGCCGAATGTTACAGCGTTCGATGATCACGTGGTCTTGTTTATGTCCGGTCTATCTCTTATCTGAATATACTGTAGTAACGAAGGAGCTGTCGTACCGGCCAGGTCTCGATGTGCAAAGTTCGACGGAAGTAGGATGGGAGGCAGAAGCCTGCCATGTTTGTCTGGCATTCAGTAATAACCTCCAGATTTCTCGTAAGGGAGGAAGTCGCTGCTAGTCTCCTTCTCTTCAGCTCACTGGCAGAGCTTGAATTGACACTCTGATTGTACAGGAAAGGAGCTTGTTGATATGTAATAAAAAAACGCTGTTGATGCCAAGATCGATTCCTGGAGCACACCCGCATTAGGTCAATTACGACGGATATCTTAGAGTCAGAGAGGAAGTCAGTCGTTCATCTGCAGTTTTTCTCTAAAAGGCCAAAATGAGTAGTTTTTACCGTTTAACACTTCGTATAATGAATTGTGCCGCCACTGCTGGCATCGTTAGAATCAGCAAAAATCCCTCTTTGAAACAACAACACAGCAAGCCATGAAACGGTATCGTTGTGCGGCACGACTAGCATCTATAGAAAGAAGAAAAACTCCCACGGAAACGTCGAAGTACGAAAGCGCGTGGGCCGCATTTCGACCCAAAGGCCGAAATGAATGAAATCGCTCACGTGAGTATGTACGATAAATAACACCTTCTAGCAACACCTCGCCGAGTGGGATACACACGTATACAGGGTGATTTGCCCACACAACAAATACATCGAAAAGTAACATAAAAAGGTCCTACACACAGTGAACCGTTCATTTCAGCTGGGTGATGTCCAGGGGGTTCTCGAGTCTCGCATGTGGCATATTCTGGCACGCGACACTGGAATTTTATTGTTGTGAGTTTCTCACCGTGCTGACACTATTGTCAAGTTATTTGATTTTAAGGCGATACTTGGAACGAAGAAAAAGGCACGTATTTTAAACCTACTCAAACGCCCACTTTGTCATCGGATGTTTTATCTCACTGCAAAAAAAATCTCGAACGCGTCATTCATTATCGCATGGTCTTAGGCCCGTACCGTCAGTCGTTCTTACAATTGTAGGACGCCTTTCTGGCGTCCTTGATTTCCACAGTTTTATACTCTACCGTGTCAGCGCTCTATTTTGAGGTTATGTTACAAATCTATTTGCATCAAATTGTTCATGCTTTTGATTTATATCATCTGGTATACAGCCTGAAATTTCCTACAATTCGAGAAGAAAACGTAGCTTGACAATATGAGGGTACTGACGCTGACACAGACCGGTAGAATCTAGAAATATCCCAGCCTTTCTGAAGGAGAGGAAATACTATGAAAATCAAGGAGACCATAGAGACGTCCCACAATTCTAGGAACGACTGACGATACGACGTTTACGAACTTATCAGGTCAATAGCGGCAGCAGCTGGAAAAGCTAGGCTAGGCTCGTACGAAGGTGGTCCCAGAAGTACCCGGCCTGACCTAGAGATGTCGATAGTTGTTTGAAAAATAT